GAGAGATACTTAAAAAATGAAAATTGGAAATTGGAGAGATGGCTCAGTGATTAAAAGCACTTGCTGCTCTTTCAGAGGACCAGAGTTCAGTTGCCAGTACCCACATTAGGTGGCTTATGAGCACCTGTTACTCCAGCTCCAAGGGAATCCAATGCCTCTGGCCTCCTCAGGCACCTGCAGTCACGTGCACATACCCACATACTGACACATACATACATGTAATTAAAAATATTTTTTTAGGGCTGGAGAGATGGCTCAGAGGTTAAAAACACTGGTTTTTCTTGCAGAAGACCTGGGTTCGATTTCCAGCACCCACATGGAATCCGAAGCCCTCTTCTGACCTCCGCAGCATTGCACGACACAGATGCACTCACATACATGCAGGCAAAACACTCATACACATAAAATAAAAATAATAATAAAACTTTTTTAAAAAAGAAAAAGAAAGCAAGCATAGTGTAAAAACCTATAATCAAGTACCTTTAATTTTAAGCAGAGTTTGTGAGTAGGACAAAATATTTCATAAGAATAACTTGCTGAGGGCCTCTGCACCATCCTATAGGCTATGTACGAGCCCAAAGATTCTGTCCTGGGCTAGTCAGCCGTTCACAGGCCCAAGCACCTCTCTCCATGGGAGGGAGTCCTAGGTGAGTGAAGAGGAGCCAGTGGCTGACCCTTGGTAGTTTAGGAGCAACCACATCACTACATCCACAGGGAGCTGAGCCAGCCCCATCAGCCTCTCTAACCACCCACTCCTGTTCAGACCCGCTGGGACCTGAACTTGAGTATCTTCAACCAACAGGAAAGTACAAAGGACTTCAGCCAATACAGATACATTCCAAGAAGAATCAAATGTCTTCTGGGGCTGGGCACCCCACTAAGATGTTACCCCAAGAAGAGGAATCATATCATGGTGTCTCCTGGGATTAGGTACCCCACTATACCCCAAGAAGAAAAGTCACAACATCTGCTGGGGTCTACTTCGCCAGAATGCCAAAATAGGAAAAGCAAACCAGCACAGTCTCGGTAGACTGGGAAAAAGTTAAACTCAGATGGATGAAGGAATCCTTTACCTTAAAAATGGTGTTTTCTTCCTCTTGTTGGGGGCTGTGCCTTGTGGCATGTTTCCAGGGGATCTGGAAGCGTTTGGAGTCTCTGTGTAGCCAAATGAGGCCAGGGTAGAGGCCACTGTCCACCTGGGCCACCAGCCAGGGCTTCAGCCGAACTCTGCGAGGGTGGAGGGCCATGATCTAGGAGTGGGAGGAAAGTGAGGCTGGCTGCTGGGAACTTTCCCAGCCACCGTTCCCATGTGTGGAGCTGCAGGTTCACCAGATGACAGCAAAGAAACGAAATATGGGCAGAAACTGTGCCAAGTGCAGGGAGAGAAAAGGGGTAAAAGGTCCTTTGGGTTCTCATTCCAAAGCCATTTAGACCTCATGCTCCAGCCAAATCAGACTTATCAGGCAAGCAGATCACATTTCCTCTATTTAAGTCCTGAAGCCGAGAAATAAAAAGATGATGTCATCCCCACTGGAGCAGCGCTTCCACAAGGGCTTTGCAAGGGAAAGGAGACTGCTCTTTTCAACCTTGCCTTGGGAGAGAGGAAGGGACTTTAGGGCAACTGCAAGCCTGTGCCCAGCAGCTAAGCCTGTTCTCTTTCCAAACAGGACAACCAAGAGTGAGTGGGAATGGTTCAGCGAGGGAAGCAGGTGAGGGGTAGGCCCAGGTTCCAAAGTCCTCACTTACCTGAGAGCAGACAGTCTGTGCACAGATATCTGAAGAGCTGGACCCAGACGCCCTAACTTTCTCCTGGCCACCAAATCTTCTAGCAAAAGGCTCGCCAGTGCCTACAGAACCCCCTGGGAACAGAGACAAGGTCTTTGAGAGCACGCCCCTGCAGTGTGCCTGGTAAAGCTTTAGGAAACCGCCCTATAATCAAATCCCAGTTGTCACAGCCAAGCCCTGCACAGCTAGGACAGTCTCCTCATCTGGGTCTGTTTATCTCCCCACGGAGGCTACAGGGAGGGAAGTGATTGGTTCCAGGCGCCTACCTGGGTAAAGTCTGTGATTGATTCCTGTAGAACCATAGGCAGAGCAGATAACATTTGTCAGCAGCCAGTACTCACAGCCAAAAACAAAGGCCTGCTGGTCAGGTGCCCAAAAGTCACTGGCTAGAAAACTGCCTGATGTTGTGTTTGGATTTTGTGGACAGGATCAGGTTGGTTAAGGGTGGTATAGCGATAGTTCAGGGTTTTGGTTTTCTTATTTTGTTTTTATTTAAAGTAGAAATGGACACCTGGAAAAAGTTAAGTCATTCCACAAATATTTGTTCATCAGCTGCTGTGTGCCAAGCACCGTGTTAGCTACTGAACATGGTGCTGATGCTCAGTGTTTAGTCCATGTCCCTTCCTCCTCATGGAAATCTACACTGGAACTGTAAACCCCATGATGGCCTGGAAATGTTACCCTCTTTATACCCAGAAAGCCCCCACCTGGATCACAGCTCTGAAACCAAGCCAGCCGAAGACTTCCCACAGGGAAGCCTAGCCCTAGCCATGGGCAACCCCTAACACCACTTGTTTCCCCAGACAGGTTCTCCCAAAATGCAAAGAGCTCAAACCCAGCTCTGTTTCTGGCACTTTAAGAGCAAAGTAGAACCTGCCCTCACCTGAGCCTTCTGACCCAGTTACCAAGTCCTGTAACCGAAACCTTCCCCTGGGAGCACAGCTTGCTGGGGCAGCCCAGCTGGGCATGGAACCTTCTAGTACCCTTGCTCTTGGCTTTGGCTTGGGTTGCTTCACAGGGCATCACAAGAAGCCATCAAACCAAACGGTGGACAGACACCTTAGAGAAGGGAGTGAAAGGCAGCAGGATTAGGCCATCCAGGCCAGAATGGCTACCAGAGACCCCGACTCAAAAATAAACAAACACTAGGCCAGGCAAGGTGGTGCATGCCTTTAATCCCTGCACTCAAGAGGCAGAGTCAGGCAGATCTCTTCGAATTCTGTATCTCCGAAGGGCAAGTGCTACCTTCTCCTCCCAAGTCCCACCCCTGCTGCAAGCTGGTGGGATGGGGGAGGAAAGCCAGGTGGGAGAAACAGGCAGCAGCAAGCCTACTGCCCCAGCAAGGGGTTTGGGCATTCCCACCATACCACTAGTAAGTCCTGAGTCTGGGCAAGTCACACATGAAATTCACCTCTTGCCTGACCATGGACTTGAAGGGCTTATCATAGTTGATTCATAGTCATCAAGAAAAACAATGAAGGCAATCAGCCTACAACAGCAAACTGCACCAGTAAGAGAAGAGGAACAGCCACCCCAGGACATCAGTGACTAAGAGCTGTGCCCTGAGTTCTCTGTGTTCTCTGCACAGGGGACCACATATGTGTGTTGCTTCTCAGAAGGAGCCCGGCTACCCTCCTTTACCATACTTCCCTCCCTGCAACCCTGTTCACCTTCTAAAAGTCAAGACCTCCAAACTAGGACTCTTAAAATAATCATGGAGGGAAAAGTTAAAAACCACCAAACTTCCCAGGTGGGGAATGGTTCGTCAAATCAAATCCATAGACTGTGCTATGCACAACCAGAAAGACAACCACCTGGGGAAGAAACAGTCGAAGCCCTACAGGATGTGTACTGTACTTCTCTATATACTTTACATAGGATCCACATTCCCACAGTGCTTCAATTTCTAGTCATTCTGTCTAAACCACAGGACTGCAGCATTTCTCACAAAGGACAACAGCACCATCCTCCACATCTGCACAAGAGGCACCGTGTCATGTGTTTGACCTCATCCTGGGAACTCTAGACACTATGTCAGCCCCATTAGATGGCTTGGGTCTGGGCTCAGAGTGCCCTGCACCCAACCCTCTGACTGCACCCTGCATTCCAAGTCCCTCCCATCTTCAACGCATAATAGAAGTCAGAAAACAAGAACCGCATGGAGGACCTGCCACCATAGGGGAGGACACTGCAGACACCCACTTGAAAACACTCCTAAGTCAGATCTCTCTTCCTGCCGTTCAACCGGAGCCCTCCATCTCCACCTGGCAGGGCAGGAAAGCAGAAGGCACTGCCTGGGCAGGTAGGAACCACGCAAGTGACAAAGTGACACCCCCCTCCTTACAGAAAGGCGAGGGCAGAGGGGAGGTGTTCTGCTGCCTGCTTGTCCCAAGAGCAGGTCCTCTATATTATTATAAACACACCACCAGCTCAGGGGTCCAGGGCAGCAGACCTCAGCGTGGCTGGCAGTCAGCCGTTTGCTGGAGTAAAACACACTGGCCATTTCTTGCAGGCAGAGTTTGGTAATCCTACTTGGCCTCTTCCTCCCAAAGAAAACTGAAATCCACCGCCTTGGGACTTAGCCTGCTTGGGGGTAAATTCTGGGCCTCTGGTCTTGTTCCCACACTCTTCCTCTCTGCCGGGCTGGAGCTGGAAGATGACAAGGGGAAGGTGTGGGCCAGGGCGCTGTCATGCGTGACACACATCTAACCCGCAGCTTCACCAAGCGCCTTCTTCCTCTCGCTTACCGGCTTCCACTCCCACTCCCGCGCCATCAGGGGAACGGAGGAGCCGGCGGCCCCTTTACCACCACACAGGCTCCGTGTGAAGCCCGAGGCCCAGGCCTCTCTTCCCGGCAGGCCCGGGAGACTTGCCGCACCGCCTCCAGCCCCTTCAGGGAAGGAGGGCCTCACCTCCGGAGCAGCCACACCCGGCGCCACCCTCCCCAGCACCGAACGCGGACCGGGAGCTCCGGGGGTGTCTCCCAGGCCCAGGGCGGGAGGCCTGACCATGCTAAGACATTCGGAAAAGACAAATCCACCGACGCCCTGGGTCAGCTTACCCCAGCTGCACCCCAACTTCCCCGAGCGGTCACTAGGACCTGAGGGTCTAGAAGCGCCCGCCGGGGCGCAGGGCCAGAGATCGAGCCAGCGATGAAGCCCCGAGGGGCGGGGGTGGAGGCGCCTCGCTCCGCCGGGTCCGACGCCGGGGCTGGGGCCGGAGCGCCAACGCTCGCCTTCCGCCGGAGGGGAGGGAGTCGGGGCAGCCCGGGGTCCGGACCACCCAGCCCCGTCCACCCTGAGCTCCCCGGAGCGGGGCGCCCCCCACCCAGCCGGCCGGCCGCCGTCCCCAACCAGTTCCCCGCCCGCACCGACCCCGGGCCCGGCCGCACCCGCCCCGCGTCTCCGCACCCCGCGTAGCCCGCGTCCCACCTGGCCTCGACGGGAGCCCGGAGCCGCTGCGGACGAGTTCACGGTGCGGCTCCCCCGACGGCTGCGCGGGGACCGCGGGCTCCGAGCACCCGCTTCACCCGCCCAGGTCAGCGCCGCGCCCAGGATGCGCGGCCCCAGCGAGGTCGGGACCGGCCCTCAGGTGTGGCCCCGCCCTCAGGTGTGGCCCGGCCCTCAGGTGTGGCCCCGCCCTCAGGTGTGGCCCCGCCCTCAGGTGTGGCCCGGCCCTCAGGTGTAGCCCCGCCCTCAGGTGTGGACCGGCCCTCAGGTGTGGCCCGGCCCTCAGGTGTGGCCCGGCCCTCAGGTGTGGCCCCGCCCTCTAGATCCGGACACGCCCTCCAGGCCCAGACACGCCCCTCGGGGTTCCGGATTGGCGCGTGGAGAGAAAGCTGGTTCTCTGCGCGTCTGAGCTCGCCCCGCCTCGTCCGCCCACGCCCCCGCACTGACCAGGGCGAAACCCTGCAAGGCCCGACGGTCCTGGGTGCGGGCGAGGGTCGTTAGAGCCCGGGTCCAAAGGACGCCCGTGGTCTCCCTGCGCCTGGTCACCCTGCGCAAGAGACGGCTTGAGACGCGGCCCTGCAGCTGGCGCACTGGCCGTGGGAGTGGGCTTGGCTTTGGGGAGGGGCGCTAGGGCCTGTCCTTGGGGCCTGCAGGACTGCCTCTAAGCTCTTCAAGACGCCTCTGTACGAGGAAAACGGTAACTCCCGCCTTTCCCAGTGTCCTTTAAGTGGGGGATAGAAGCATGGTCCCTGGAGCCCACTGTGGGGTTCAAGGGCCCAACTTTATCAGATACTTAGACTAGGGAAAGTTTCTTCTCTATAGAGTCAGGTTTGTAAAGGCACCAGCCTTGAGGGTGATGTGGGCATTCAATAAGTTTCTAAAACCCATAATCACTTTCAGTTATTCAGACTACCCCCATAGTGCCCTGTCGAATAAGAGGGCAATGTTTGCTGTCACCTGAAGTCCAAGCACATACACACACCCGTGTCCAGCAAGTAAGACAAATCCCTCTAAGCACCTCTCACAGGTGAGATGGTTCATGGGCAGGGCTTTTAGGTTTGTGTGTTAAAAAGCAATGAGAGAGGCTGGAGATGTAGCTCAGTGGCAGAGTGTTTGCCTAGCATGGGAAGGCCCTGGGTTCAATCCCCAGCTCCAACAAAAGGTAGAGTAATGAAGGTTATCCCAACACTCTGAGACTGAGGCTGGAAGATTAGGACTTCAAGGGTAATAAGTATATAGTAAACTGTATAGTAAGTTTGATGGTCAGGATTATCTATCAGTTGGACACCCAGAAGGCAGGCCTCTAGGTAGGTGTGAGGGATTGCCTACATTAAGGTGACTGATGTGGGAAGACCCATCTTAATTGTGGACAGGATCATTTCCTGAAGAGGGAATCCTAATGGAGAGGCTGAGCAGAGCATTAGCTCTGGACCTCAGATTCGATGTGTCCAGCTCCTGCATCTGACTTCCTAGGCATGATGGACTGTATTCCCAAACTGAGTTGGAATAAACCACCTTTAAATTGCTTTTGTCAGGGTATTTTATCACAGCAACAGAAGAAAAAAAAAAAAGTAAGTTTAAGGCCAGTCTGGGCTCTAGAGGTAATGAGACCCTGCTCAAAATAAAATAAAGTAACCAGTGAGATGGTGGGGTAGCTAGCCATGCAGGGAGTTTTGAGTGTGTGTGGCTTTGCCTCTGTGATTTGAAGTCCTGGCCCACAGGGGCCAGGGGCTTTATGTGAGGTAAATGCTGACAGAAGTGATGAAGTTAAATGAGGTAGTTCAGGTTGGCCCTAATCCAGTATGACTGCTGTCCTTATAAAAGGAGATTGGGACACAGCCAGCCAGGCACAGAACAAATGGGATGCAGAGATAAGGGAGAAGATACCATCTAAAGTCTAAGGCAGGGGCTTGGGATAGCTTCCTCCCTGCAGTCCTAGGACCTAATGGCACCGTGACATTGCCTGCTAACCTCCTGAATGATGAGACAGTAGATTGTTCTTTAAGCCACCATGTCTGTGGTGGCATTTGTTCTGGTAACACTAGTAAATTAGCATAAGTGGGTTGGAGAGTCCTGGATTGGTGATAACGTGGGCTTGCTCCTAGCCCCCACTCATCCTGGGATGTTGCCAGCACAGGCCTGGGAAGGCAGTGAGGCCCTGAGGCCTGACTCAGCCAGCCTTGGCCTCAACCACTGTCAGTGGCCACTCTTCTCTCTGAGCAGGGGAGGGGTTGGCTCACCAGCCCAGCCCTCTCCATTGCTGATGAGCTCAGGGAAGCTCCAAACCTTCCCTCTGGCTTAGGGTTGGCTCCTGAGACCAAACAGCCTCTCTGGGGTGTGTGTGTGGAAGACCATCAGGATAGTGTCATCTGAGAGGAGCCAGGAGCCCACTGGCACATCATAAGCCCATACATGACACTCTGGCCCTGACAAAATTCCCATGACTAAAGTGATTCTCAAGGGTCTTCTTTAGAAGAAAAGAATTTTTAAGTGGGGGTGTGGTGCTGTGTGCCTGTAATGGAAGCATTTGGAGATGAAGGCTGGAGGATCAGGAGTTCAAGTCCAGCCTTGGCTACGTAGCTAGTTTGGGGCCAGCCTGGGTTATATGAGACCGTGCCACATGAACAAAACAAAACAAAGATACATATTTTAGATTCAGGAAAATTTAAGCTGGGTGAGTCCTTCTAAATTCTCTAGTTCAAGGGCTGGAGAGACAGCTCAAAAGCTAAGAGCACTGGCTCCTCTTGCAAAAGAGTTCAGTTCCTAGCGCACACATGGCGACCAACAAATGTTCATAACTTCCATTCCAGGAGATCCGACACCCTCTTCTAGTCCCTAAGGGCATTGTATGATATGAGTGGACTTATGTACATGCAGACAAAACAGTCACACACATAAAATGTAAATAAATAAGTCCTCTAGTTAAGAGGCTGGAGTTGTAGCACACTGGTAAAATGCTTACTGTGTACAAAGCCCTGGGTTCAACCCCCAGCACCACAAAAATAAATAAATCCTCTAGTTCAGGGAGATAGAACTGGCTCAGAGATGTTTGTCTGCATCATATTTTTTTTTTCTTTTCTTTTTGGTCTTTTTGAGACAGGGTCTCCCTGTAGCCCCAGCTGGTCTGGATTCTCTATGGAAAACAGGCTGGCCTCGAACTCACAGAGATCCACCTGCCTCTGCCTCCTGAATGCTGGGATTAAAGGCGTGTGCCACTACGGCCAACCCTACATCATATTTTTAAATTTTTATGTATTTTATGTGTATCAGTGTTTTGTTTGCATGTATGTAAGTGCACCATGTGCATACAATGCCCACAGAGGCAAGAAGAGATCATTGGGTCCCCTGGAACTGGAGTTGCAGACAGTTGTTAGCCGCCTTGTGGGTGCTGGAACCGAACCTAAGCCCTGTGCAAGAGTAGCCAGTGCTTTTAACTGCTGAGCCATGTACCGCCACTCATCTCCAGTCCCCATAACATCAAGTTTTAAATACTGAAAAGTTTCACATAAGCACCTGAGTTCACAGCACATCTTGAAGAGTGCTGTGGTAGACACTTGGCCAACTTTCTCCATGGCCACAAACTCTGTGCACTTTGATTAGGACAAACCTACTCTGCTAAGATCGCTCAGTTCATTGCCTGTAACTATGCTGTAAATCTTGGAGTCCAAGTTCCCCCTCTTTAGATATGAGGCCCCAGAGACATCAAGCAATTTGCTCAAAGTCATACAACAAACAAAGCCAGACTAGAGCTCAAACCTGGGGCTCTCTACTTGGACCTTGGTCAGCATCAAAGCGGGCTCCATTCTGACTGGTGCCACACTGGCTGACTGCTAAACCACAAACCATGCTTGAAGGAGGCAGAGTTGCTATCCCACTGCACAAAACCAAACTCCAGCTCTCATGTCGTTTTCCTGAAGAATCAGCAAAAAGGGAGAAAACAGGAGCAAGTTTAGACCAGGAGGAAGTCTTGGCTCTGGCAATAGGGCGCCCTGAGGTCTCTTTTGCCTGAGACATGCCTCATCCATGTGGTCTGAGGAACGGAGCATCTTGTGAGCCCCTCCAAGGGCCCTGGAGGAATGGGATCTATAGTCTCATAAGCCTTCCCGGCAGATTCCCCCGTCTCCAGCATAGTTGTGGCTGCTGTGCTCCGATCACTTTGCCCTGCCTTGCTGCTCAGATGGGGTGGTGTTGACTCACCTGTGAGTCTGAGTTTCAGGTGGTGGATGCGTGGCCTCTCAGGGACCCTGACTCATAGCACAGAGAACAGGGGAAGTCCCCTTCTCTCTGCTTCTGGCACTTCTCCCATTACCTCTCATTTTGTGGGGAGGAGTCTTCTTCACTGCAGACTTCAACTTCTATTTATAGCACATGTATGACAGTAAAGCTGTGAGATCCAATCCCACTCTCTTCTTGGCAGAACAGAGGGCAAGGCACCTGGGACCCTGGCCAGGGGCTCATGAAGGGGAGGCCTGAGCCTCACTGGAGTCTGTGATAGCAGCATTTCTACTAGGCCGGTCCACGGTGTGGTGGGTTGCTAAAGAGAGTATGGAGACATCGAGCTAAGCAATCCAGCTTTGC